TGAACGTTACCTGCAAAGGTGAGATATGTACTTCTTGTAGGAGCCCTGGAGGAACAGTGAAATTCAACCCGATAATGTCTCTTAGAGGCATGAGCCAAGTTGCAAAGCATCAGGTTTATCTTATTGCTCTGGCTGTGGGTTATCTGACACCTTTGCAAAGAGTCACACCTGCAGTTTCAGAAAAGGTATCCACAGATGCTCGTGCAACTGTCAACGTCTTAGTGCCTCTAGATTGGCATCCTCCCAGCACCCAGCTCATCAATCCATGCTTTCATCGAAGTTTCCCAGCATCGTCTTTGGCGTTTGGACACCAGAGAGTTAACTACTGACAGACGATGACAGCATAAAAGGATCACCCATTGTTAATTCTTTTCAGGAATTAACCCCACCCATCATGCTGAAGCTAATCATCAAGGCATGTGTCCTAAGTAGGCTGATCTGAAATTTTTTTCTCCCTGGTCACACTGATCAGTCTAGAAGGCAGGCAAGAAATCCATGTGATGACAGTCATACTTTTTTTGGAGGCATAGCTATCTAGATGCTCAGGTAGAAGGAGGAGTCACAGGAGACTAGTCTTGTCATCATGTGGGGACATGAGCTTGAGAGTGAAGCCAACACCATGGAAAGCTGAGCCCAAGGGATAGACAGGGACACAATTTGAACCCCAGGAGCCATTGTCTTGGACTTTTTACTTAATCCATGCAATATATTCTTTGTGTGTTTCGTGTGAGTTTGTTCAATGTAGTTAGAGTTGAGTTTTAGTTATGGTAATAGTAAAGAGTTCAGATGGCACAGTGATACCACCTTTACATCCACCCAGGGACCTGAATGACTTAGGGAGTCCTGGGAAGCCCAATACAAGCACCCCCAGCTATAGGTCTCTTCACTTTCTACTCCGTTTTCCTTTTTAAAATATAACTTTTAAAAAACGTGTATGTCTAACATTTTATTCAGCAGTACAAATCTTTCCTGAATCTTGAGGAATTTTTTTTAAGAGGATGTTACAACAGAAAATAAAAATGAAACTCCCTCATGATACTTTTTATGTAAAGTTACCTTTTATTGTTATTTGAAAATGAAAGTGGTTCAAATTCAAATGTGTGTGTTTAAATCACTGATGTTTTGGTAATGTCACTAGTATATCCTAGTACTCCACTGTGTAGGATCAGTAATCTGGAATTTGTTTTGTGTTAGTCTTTCAGGAACTTCATAGTCCAAACATGTTCATTTATAATAATTGAAATAATTTAAATATGTTAAAAAAGTAAACGATGTATTAATGTATTCTTCCTACAAAAGGAATTAAAATAATTCAGGCACAAGTAGGGAGAAATTGGAAGGGTTTCGTTTTTATTTGCCTACTCTGAAATACCTCTTTTACCAGTTGAATATTTATTATACCTGATTTTTTAGATGTTCAGATTTATATATGCATATATGGAGCTACATAGATAGTTTTATCTTATATTTTTTTAAAAAAACATAATTGGTTTAGTCTATCTATATGTGTTATGAACATTTGCAAATTAAAGGAATGCCTTATTTTGACCAAGAAGGTTTTATCTCCAGAATGAAAGGAGGGGATGTTTCAACATTAGAAAACTCCAGATAATAAGCCACATTACCCAACAAGAAAAGCTAAATAATTTCCTCAGTAGACTCAAAAGATATTTGCTAAACTTTAATACCTTCTCTCTTTTCCTCCCTTTAGAAATTGGGGCAAAACATACTTGGTTTATTTTCTGTCCTCTATTGGAAGTAACATTATTATTTTTTTTAACCACAAACTCTGTACAACTTTGTTGAAAAATGAAGAAGAAAAATCATGTGACTGAACTACTAAGAAATATGTTTGTATATTTTCTCAGAATCACTGCAACTGTTTCTACTGAATTTATTACAAACATTTTTGACATATTACATTTTTTTCAATGTCTTCAAAGGGCCATAGTGTGGAAGAATTACATTTTGTTTAACCATTTCCTCATGTTAGAATATTTAAGTTATGTTTAAGTTCTGTGTATCTTAAATTATTTCTTTAAGGTGTTCCTTAGGATAGAGTTTAAATTGCTAGGTCAATGGGAAGTTTTTTGATCTATATTGTGAATTTGCCTCTCTGAAAGATACTGTAGCAGTGATGTATGAAGGAGTTCATTTACCTATGTGACATGTTGATAGAAAAACATTTGGGGAAGAGTATATGAATTATTATATGTAAAGCAACCTAACCTTTTACATTTTATAGATGTTTTAAAAAATGAGTCTTTTTTTTTTTTACTTCTTAGAAAACCAAACAAACAAAATAATGGATGCTTCTGTTAACAAGAAAGCAGCTGATAGCACATCACAGGTAAGACTTTTTTCCTTCTACTTCAAAGTAAATTCTAATTATAGCTCACAGAAGAATGGATTTCTCTCAGTATTCTTTGATACAGTGAAAATTGTTGTATGTCTGTTTTTTTTTTTTTACAACTGTCCAGTTTCTCACAGCCTCTCTGTAATGTTTGATGAGAATTGAGATTTTTTTGCTTAGTAGTTCTGTTAGAGATAATGTTATATTTATTATATTAACTAACTGGTTGGATTATCCAATTGACAGTCCAATCATTTCTTCATTTACTGTAAAGATTGTCTGCAAAAAGGAAAACACATGGAATTTTTTCCAGGTCCAAGTTTTTGAGAAGGTCTGACTGGCTCACCTTCTCTTGTACTACCCTGCCTCTTCCTTACTGCTATTTTAGTTTCCTTAAAGGTGATCAGATATATCATTTGGGAAGAAGTTTTTTGTCTTTCTGATAGCTTATTAGCACTATGCCAGTCTTGATACGTTTTCATGTTAAATTTTATCTACCTAGTAATGGAGTAACCACTTTTTCCCTGTATTAACAGTGTTCTTCCTTGTTCTTGCTTTAGGTGTATTAGATTTATAGCAAAGTCATTAGACTGTTGATAGTTTTATTTTCTTTCCTTCTTCTTAATTATTTTAAGAAACTCATATTATTCCTTGAAAAACAGAAAGTCTTGAGTATATCAGGCATGATATGGATGTATATTTTAAAACAAGGGCATGATGATCTTTGATTATGGCTATTTTTCTTCAAAATGATAGATTTTTGCTGGGCATGGTGGCTCACACCTGTAATCCCAGTGCTTTGGGAGACAGAGGTGGGAGGACTGCTTGAGGTCAGGAATTCAGAACAGCTTGGGCAACATAGTGAGACCACATCTGTACAAAAAAATGTAAAAAATTATCCAGGTGTAGTAGCATATGCCTGTAGTCCTAGCTACGGGAGGCTGAGATAGGAGAATCACTTGAGCCCAGGAGTTTGAACTGTGATTGAGCCACTGCACTCCAACCTGGGCAACAGAGGGAGACCCTGACTCTAAAAAAATAAATAAATTAATAAATAAATAAAATTAAAGTTGAATTAAAATTTTAGTTCCTCAGTCATGGTAACCCCATTTCAAGTCTCAATAGCCACATGTGACTAGTGACTACCATTTTGGACAGTGCAGAGACAGAATATTTTCGTCATTGCTTGAAGTTCTATTAGACTGCACTGTCTATAGAGCGTTTTAGCTGAAATATAGTGCGTGTAATATAAATACATAAATGAAATTAAATATAAAAGTTTGTTACACTTTTAAAATTCAAGAAAAATTTTAAAAAATCCAAAATCGAGTTATACCCAACTGCTTATTATATTCTAGGAAATCTAAAACCTCATGTAGTACTCCACACTTCACAGCTTTTGGAATCTAAAATATTTTAATTTACACCATACTATTATTGATATGAATAAAAAATATAGTAGGAGGGTTTTATTCTGGAATAAGAAACCATTATGGAACTGTGCTTTCAGTTATAAATTCATGCTTGTAAGCTTGAATTTTTTGGTACAAATATAATTTTTGTCATTGTGATGAATACCTTCATTAATATTACATTATTGGTTTTTTGAAAATGCATTAAGCAATTCTTGTTAGCTTTTTACCCTAATATGCCTCTTATTAACAGATAAAAACTAGTATGAAACAGGTAGCATGTGATTCTTTGAATTGTCACTTTTTAACACATTGACTGCCACACTAGAAAAAAATTTTTTTCCGTGGGGCCACGGTGTTTTATTATGAAAAGAGAATAAAAGCTCTGAAAACAAAACAGTCCTTTCTAATTCAATGAAAAATTTGTTATTTTTTATTGTTTTCTGTGCATGAGTTATATGCAAACTTGAAAAGTAGTTCTCGAGGCTCCCAAGGTGAAGAGACATACGAGTTACATATGCTTCACAAGGCCCTGGGCTCAAAACTAGTGTGAGTTAAATACAACTCACACGGCAGTCAATGTGTTAAACACCCTTGGCTAACATCTTTTTTCTTTACCAAGCCTACTTAGTTGTACTTCTTAACATTTTAAGGCTATTTTGATTAGAAGAAATCTAGATGTCTAGTGTGGAAATGATTGTTGGTTAGCCATAGCTAATTAG